CACACACACACATACACACACAAACTTTCAGAACCAGAAATAGATTCAAGTAATTATTAAACCCATTAGTTACAATTTTTGTAGTGTTTAAATTTTGAATTTCAAATTTATCCTACATTTATATTCTACACAACTCTACAAAAGATAAAATCTAGCTCTTGCTTGCAAAGAGGTTAATATAGTTGAGGAAAGAAACAAAAGAAAACAAATAATTAATATATTATGATAATTCATTATTATCAAATGCCTGCCAAGTGCCAGCCATAACACAGTCTAGCCTGTGGAACTTTTAGTATAGAGTGTGGACATGAAGGATCACACAAATAAAAACCGTTGGTTTTTTTTGTTTTGTTTTGTTTTTTTTGAAGATAAAGAATATACTAGGGGGACATAATGTAGTTCAGGGAGAGAGGGAAGGTCTCTCTGACAAAGTGATATTTAAGCTAGCTAAAGCCTGAAGAATAAGTAAGAAGCTAGCCAAGCAAAAAGGGAGTCGTATTTCTGACAGAATTTACATGAGAGGAAAAAGAAATTATGTGTGTCTTAGCCTGGTTAGGCCATCATAACAAAATACCATGGACTAGGTGCCTTCAACACAGAAATTTATTTTCTCACAGTTCTAGAGACTACAAGTCCAAGATCAAAGTGCCAACATGATTTTGGTTTCTGGTAAGAGCTCTCTTCCTGGTTTGCAGTAGGTCTGCCTTATTGTTTTGTGTTCACATGGTCTTTCCTAGGTATGTGCATGTGTGCGTGCAGGTATGCAGAGTGGTGTCCCTTAACTCTTCTTATAAGGGCACCAGCCCTACCGGATTAGGGCCCCACCTTTATGATCTTATTTAACTCTTGTCACCTAAAGACCCTATCAAACAAACATTTAGTCCACAGCAGAATATTTCATTTAACTGAGAGAAGGCTGTTTGTAGCTGAGATGCAGAGAAGAAAGCCACTGAGAAGTGAGCAGGAGCCTATAGTAAGCCTTTTATATTATATCCAGAGCAAGTAGGAAATAACATTGTTTGTATTTTAAGATCACTGCTGTGTGGACAAGAGTACAAGTAAAAGAAACCAATTAGGAAGCTATTGCAGTAACCCAGATGAGAAGTGATGGGGTATAATAGGAGATATAAAGAAGGAGATAGATTTGAGATGTCTGTAAATACAATATGAGACTTGACATCTACGAGACCTGACAAGTGAGGAAGATATCAAAGATGATGATTTCCAGATATTTCACATGGGCAACTGGTAGATAGATATACCACTTAGGGAACTGGGATGCCTGAAGAAGGAGGAGTCTTGGAAGAAGATTAAAATTTCAGATACGTTAAAGTTTAGATATTTGTGAAAACATCAGAAAATAGTAGTTGTGCTAGTGAAACTCAGAAAATCAGTCTGACTAGAAATGAAAATTAGGGAATAATAATCCACATATCAAAGTACTTAAAGACAAGGATTGCCTAGCGGGAAAGGGTAGAATGACAAGCAATCCCAGGACTGGATCTTGACCGTTAGAGAACAGAA